ATACACTTCTGCTGGGTATTCAAAATAAACGCGGATCAAATTGTTATTTTCAAATACTGCTTAAAAGTCTGGGGCTGATTTATTTTACAGACAGAGATGTATAGGAGATGTTTAAAAAGAATCTAAAATATAACAACTCCAAAATATGTATTTCTTATGTAACATGCTATAGGAGCTTCAAATAGAAACGTGAATCATAATTAATGGAATTTGAGCAATTGTAAAATCTTGGTTACAGAATATCAGCAACTGGGGCACTGCCTGTGAATTATTTAAATATAGAATTAACTATTTTTATTATTTATATTAACATTAGTGCCCCAAATGTGCTAGGCACTGTACTCTACACACATATAGGAAGATATGTTCTCGGTCCAGAAAAGTTTAAGCCTTGATCCAGCGAGGTACTAAAACACACAACTAATTTAAGCACATAAGTAATCCCACAGGCTTCACATGCTTTAGTAGCTTGCTGACGGGGCCTTAACCACTACCCACAGGTATATTCATACTAAAAATGAATTAAATTTACCTTAAACTTTCAAATAGTTGCAAGTGGTATTTACCATGTGGCTTACGTTGACAGGCAAAGTAGCTGGTAAAATCCTTTTGCCGCTGAAAGCCATATTTTAACTGTATTATTGGCTATTATTTGGAGTTTGATCGGCAATACGTAATTTTTTAGTATCTTTGTGTCTAAAAGAAAAGAGTGAAATTAAAATGACAGAGGATTCAGAAAATCCTGAACCAGAGATTTATGCTATACCTGCATCGGGTGTTGACAAATGTACCATCAACCAGTCTAGAACATATTTCCACTTGAAACTTTGCCTCCGTACACGTTACGTTTATGAGCAGTGTTTGAAATATGCTGTAAAACTGACTTGGGGTTTTTCTTGGGACCCTAGTCTTGACAACAGTTGTGGCTGTAACAGTTATCTCTAGTGTACACAGACAGCAAATCAGACCTGTGTCAGCTAAGCCATTTTAGCTAGTCGTCCTTCCTCCCAGTTCTCCCTGTGACCGGCAGTCCTATAGTGTGCGATACCTTAGGTGTAGTGCTTTGTCTCCCAACATTCTCTGTACTTTATGCTATGTAGCTGATAGAGCAATGATTTCTACGTCTATATACGTAACAGAAAAGAGCCATGCTGGTGTATCCATAGCCTGGCTGTAGCCATGGTATATACCTGATTGTCAGCCTCTGCTTCTCTTGGATCACTGAACATTCATGTTCACCATCTGAGATGGATCATCAGTCGTTTGGACAGAGTCCAACATAACAACTTTTGATTGCAATCTGGAGTGAATTTGTCAGGCCCTGCAGAGCTATGTTGCATTCTCTGCAGTCAGTCAATGTACAGGAAGGCCCCAGACAAAACTCACAAATTGAGAAGTGCCAAGCCATGTCAGAAGTTTGAGAAACTATTATCAAATGATGGTTTTGTGACTCCAGGTCAGAAAGGCAGACCTACCCAGAAAAATTTGGCTTACTTTGAGGCTGCACCTATGTGGTTATTGGAGAGCTCTCAACTCTCATCCAGCTGTGAGAAGAGGACAAGTTGCTTTGAAGAACCAGGTGTGAGTGAACTCAAAGACTAAGGGTCAAAAGTGGAGGCAAGGGAAGATGATGATGATCCTGGTGAGGCAAAGCATTCTAGGGATGAAAGACCATGGTACAAGCTACTCTGAGTGAACTCAAAGACAAAGGATCAAAAGAGGAGGCAAGGGAAGATGATGATGATCCTGGTGAGGCGAAGCATTCTAGGGATGAAAAGACCATGGTACAAGCTACTGTGCTGCATTAAGTTTATTCTTCAGAATGTTCCTCTGTAGTTTTTTTGGAGATGCAGATTAAAGATGCATTTAACTCAGAGCCTGGGTATTGCTAAATAAAGCAGAAGGGCTATTTTTCCACATATCCCATAAAAATTCACTGTCGTGGCTATTACATGTGTATATCAGGCTTGATTATCAGTTTTTTACATTCCCAATTTATGAAGGTGGCTTCAGGCTCAGAAATGCCCTTCTGAAGATAAGAAGAAATATTCACAGAGGGAATCTCCCAGAGCTGCACCACTACTTGCAATGGCTCTGTTCTCCAAGTTAGCGTTAACAAATTCAGTGCATACCATTGTGCTAAGTGGCAGAAATCAAAGTTAAAAGAGGAACTGGGCATTAAAAAAAGGTTCTTACCATGAGGCTCATACCATAGTGGACCCGGCAGCTAAACAGAGCAATGGAGCTTGGGTGAAATATTGCCACTTTAAATAAAGTGCAGTCATTTCATATCGTGATTCAGAAAATTCAAGAACTTTTGACACAATGGATGCCAGTAAGTTATGTCCCACAAAAGCACAGTTGGACAGATACGTCGTAACATTTTCCAACCTACAATCTTTATTTTTTCTGCTTCCTCCTTCCCCACAAACATCCCCAAATCACAAGGAGGAACTTGCTCATGTGGACTATGTTTTTTTCTGCTTAAAGCTACTTTACGTCATCAATGCTTTGTCAAGGAAGTCAGAAAGGCAAAACTTGAGAGTTCATCAACAACCTTGTGAAGAAAGAAGGGGATGAGAGGAGAAATGAATAGTTAATTCTCAGGTCGCAGCAGGAGCTGAGGAAAGCTCAGAAGATAGCCAGAGGTGGCAGATGAAGGAGGGGGATGAAAGGGTGAATGAAGTGCAGGAGGAGGAGACCATGTGCACACATGCATCACAAAAGAGAATTAAGAAAAATGGAACATGCTCAAAGGGCTTCAAATGCTCTAATAAACAACTGAGGGCTGCGCTGCTACCCTTAGAAACAGCCAGCACCAACATGAACAGCAAACCAGACCGAGTTATCCCCCATCAATCAGCTGGCTTCACTCCTCTCCAATGTCGTCCGACTTCTCTCCAGTGATCTCTTGCTGTCTCTGGTCTGCTAGCTAAGCATCACCCAACTACTTGGATAGCACAGGCAGACATTACATTTCCCAGTACACAAAGCTTCATATTTTCTTCCTTTTTAGCTGCATTTGTTTGTGTGCATTCAAACTAAATGGCTGTTTCATGAAACAATTTGTGATGAGCATGTGGCCACAAAGAAAACACAGCCCAGTTGGTTATCTATCCGAAATAGCTTTCTGTTGAATACAACATTTCAGGGAATACAATATCTTGGATAAAGATGAGTATTCAGAAAAGAATAAAATTAGGTTGTGATAGGGAAGTTCTGTATGGTCCCTAAATAAAGCAGGATTCCAGCACAGAATATTGTCTCCTTTTCCCAGTTCATGCAGAAGTGCCGGACAAGTGTACAGATGGCATATAATTTCAGATAATTATGCTTAGTCTTTTATATCAAGAATTGTACTGTTCCGTTTATCTGGGGAAGAGTGTGTCGCTTTAGTAATTAAATATATCAGGCAATTCACCTGTGGCTGTCTAGTGCCGTCAGACCTGCTTCATCCTTTTCACTGCCTGCAGCTTCTCTTAGATTGCTAATCAGCCTGTATATTCCCTGCTGAAGCTGACATCTTTCTGATGCTGATGGGGTCCATTTTTTCCCTTTGATTCTCTGCAGAACAGAGAGCTCAGAGCCTCCTTCTGAATAGAAATTGTAGGAGCTGTATATGTTATTGCCCAGAGGGGTGGATAGCAGATGCTGGAATTCAGGTTTACATTCTAATGCTAGCTTTTAAAAGCGTTGCAGCATTTGTTAAAGTGGAGGTGAAATTCTTTCGTTGGTATTTTTAAAAGGAACTATACGGATGAGTCGGTTGCTATGATATATGTGAAATAGTAGCAACGAAGCCTATGGTATAGAGCAGTAGTGTCAATTCAGAATGTGTAGTGAAACTAAATGAAAACAGACCAAAAAAATCCTGGTCATTTTTTAATGTAAAATGTGATCTGCTTACATTTCTCACAGTAAACCAAACCATAACAGTTAATACGAGACCTTTTTGTCAAGACCAGATAAAATCTAGGGCTACAGTATGTTAATAAAATAATTAAAACAACAAAATTCCTCATTGCAGTGTATGCTCAATATTTTCATACCATCACTGGCAGCCAGATATCTGAAGAATAATGAGCATGTTTCATAAGGAAGGGTCACTACAATGGCTTACGAGTTTCAGTCCAGTGCAGAGCCAGGACACACAAGCATTAAGTGAGGTTTTTATAAAGAGGTGGACCTGTGTATGTAATATGTGCGTACATAATTAACCTTCTATTCCCATGCGGAAAATTGTTTCCCCCTTTACACTAGTGTATATAGATCAGAATTGGGCCCTTTATGACTAGCTTGTGCCTGGGGAAGGCCGGAAAGAAAAACACAAATAGTCCGTTGCAGCTAACTAAATATACATTTGATGGCCCTATTGCGTAGCTTAAAGTCACTTGGAATAAGAAACCAGCTTCTGCGTGATGAACCTTTGCTAGGACAAAATACCCAGTGTCACTAGACTTACGGACCAGATCCTCACCCAGTGTAAATTTCTATTGACTTTAGTTGAGCTACGTGATTTACACCAGCTGAAGATCTAGCACTGTGTTCAGTCTAGGATATTTAGGGGGTGTCGGTTATTTTTTTGTGTTCCCCGGGGTTCCAGAATCTTTATATGATACCCAATCTGAGTTCATAAATCTTATTACTGCATTGCATATAAGTGATCATTTATTCCAAAAAGATATAGTTATAGATATAGATATGACCAGTTATAGATATTACCAGTTGGCATTTTTTCCATAAAGTTATTTGGTTTATAGTAGCTGTATACCATATTTTCAAGATATTAGCACTGTGCCACAACAGATTTTCCTACAACGTGCACTGAGGAGAAAGGCTTTATATTTACTGTGAGAGATCTGGACCCCTTGGTACCAGACAGCTAAAAGGGATTAAATACAGTGCCAGACATATTTGTTCATACACTGATATTATCCACTATAAGAAAATGAAACAATAAAAGTCCAGCAACCTAATTGTAAGGTCCTACTGTTTTCCAGGAGCACAGCGCTATGCAGAAGTTGCACTGCACACAAGTTGACAAAATAGTGGCACAGTATGATAAAGAAAAGTTATCTTATGAGAAAATGTTAGAGAAGGCAATCAAGAAGAAGGGGTAAGATATTATTTTAAAATGTTTTATAAGAATCAAAATAGATTTTTATGCTTTTACTGTCTGGAACAAAATATTACTAGAAAAGTAATTTATATTTAACTTACAGCAGCCCGACCCGGCCCTCCTCAGTCAATATAAATTTAATCTGCACGAGGATTTAAGGATTGGGCCCTAAGTGTTGTACTTGCTTTGCCTTACTGTAGTCCTCTATTTTCTTCGCATGTGACATTCAAACAAATTAATCAGATCAAATGTTCAGTCTCCATGGGCCTGCCCTTGCTCTCATTGAGACCAATTGGAGTTTTACCATTGGTTTCAGTGAGAGCAGGCTCAGAACCTCCGTGAATAACATCATCAGCCTTCGATCACAATTTGGTCTTGGAAAAAATTGGTGTATTAATCTTGAACTTTGTAGAAGGAAGCTCAAATCAAATAATAGGTTCTGCTTTACCGTCATCGAGAAAAGGTTCCTCTCAAAACAGGAACTGTAAATATTCTTTCAGATTCCCAGCTGGTTATAAATTGTCGTCTATGATGGCAGTGAAGCTACCTCAATTTGTGCTAGCATAGGATCTGACCCATTGTCTATATGCAGTTCTTAATTGCTCCTGAAGTTACTGGAATATTTTCGTCACAATTCATAAAATTTGTCTCTTGCAGTCCTAATAGGGAGAACCTAGAGATTTCTATAATTTCCAGGTTCCTGCTGTTCTCCAGTTGCTAGCTCTTTATTTTGTAGCTTCTTCTCCTCTGTTTTCCCCCTGTTGCTGACGTCTAACTCCCACAGTCCCTTTTTGATTAAATAACAATATTGTACTATTAGTCTTACAGTTAATCTGTGACCCCTGAAAAGCAGGAATGAGTTTCTTAGTAGAATACAGAAGTATATTAGCAGTTAGTATTAATTGTTCGTATTGTCTGACCCGGTAACAACATTTCCCTGATCCTGGAATGATTTCCCTCTCCGCCTCTCCCAGCAAATTTAATAAAATAATATTAAATTATTAATACTGGGCTGATGCTAGAGGGTATGCAACTGAGCTGTTGGGTCCAGTCTCTTATAGAATTATTTGCTGTATTGAGCTCAGGTGCCTTTTTGGCGATGGGTTCTTTCATAAACACTTTACTGTGTTTTATATAGTATTTGGATGAACAGTATTTGTAAAATATGTACGTGTGCCTGAAATGATATTAAACAAAACTCTTATTAGAAGTAGCAGTCTCCTGAAGCCAAAGAGGTAACAAGAATTCTCCACAATAAGTTATGAAAAGGCTACATGAACTTTCCAAAGTGTACCTTGAGCTGTTTTTACTCTAAGGAAGGACAATCATTATCAGGACCCAAATATTTCTTAGGCTGAGCAGCACTTCCAGAAACAATCCTAATAGTGCAAACAGATCACTGAAGTATTAGCTACACTCTGATTACAGGGAGAGCTGGTGAAATAGGAGAAGCTCATTTCAATTGACTAAACTGCAGCACATGGCTAAAGAGATGGCAGCTGTGAACTGGGATTATAATTAAGATGGCAGAGGGGGTATTCATTCCTTGCACCATTAGTAACAAACTGAGCACCATGGAAGTTGTACTTTATCTGCCGTCCAGGGAGAAAGGCTTACAGCTGTTCTGCATTTTGAGAACCTTGAGCCAGAAGATTTACAAATCAGTATTAACATTGGTCTGAGAAGAGATCGGTCTTCCCGCTCTTCTACGTCTAGGCAAAACAGCAAATAAACAAAGGCAGATATCAGATTTAAATGTGGTAATAACTGTCCATGACTGCATTAATCAGTGAAAACCTTTGTGTAAAACCTCTTACGATGACCTGAGAATGGGTGACTACGAGGGTAACTCATCCCAGTTTCACCTCCCTTAGGTTGCTGCCTGTATCTAAATTAGATCACCACAAGTTTCCACTGGCATTCATAACACTTCTCTGCTCTCAGGACCTCCTGAAGATTTCTGATAGTATTGGTCCGTGCTTTGGAAAACTAAAAGATTTAAAAATAAAAATAAACAAAAGTCTTAAGTGTAAATAAAGGAGTAGATGGCCTCGGGGGCGGGGGGGGGAGGATTCATGTTGGGACACAGAACCATTTACTTGTCACCAGTTTGACTCCATCCCAGGTCATGAATGACCAAAAGCCACCATCTGATGGCTATTCTGTGGTGCAAGGGAAAAGAACTGTTCTCTAATCCCTAGCGGATAGACGTCCTTATCATATAAACTATTATATCTGTGTGCATTCTTGCCAGTTTTAACAGACAGGCCAATGTGCTATATGCGCACAGATTTTGGTTTACCCTCTTATTCCTAAAAGTGGATCCTTCACATCTGGATCAAGGTACACTGAGGGGATAATGCAGGGGGAAGTTGACACTGCCACTATTTGTGCTGCTCTGAGCCCAGATTCAGCCAGGATCTCAAGCACATGCTTAAATCCATCTCTGTTCCACGGTACATTTAAGCACCTCCTTAAATGTAAGCACAGCCAATGGAACTTAAGCACTCGCTTAGCTTTTTAGGCATGCGCTTAGGTGCTGTGCTGAGTATGGGCCCTGGTTGATTGGCTAAATAATGTATTTGGTTTCCACTGCTGTCATTCTGGCAACTTTCATAAGCAATACGTTGATTTAAAATAAATTTAAAAAATTAAAGGCGTTCGATTTGAATTTGGTGCATACTTCATCAAAAAGGCAAAAATGCCTTCCTGAGAGAGATATAATACAGTCTCCGTTCTGGTTTTGTGATGCTTACATGTAGTTTTTTTCTAATGTATTTCCCACATGGCATGACATGTCTGTCAGCTGCATAATTTTCAGGAAAAAAATTAATTACAGCTTCATTCACTGACAGATGGACAGGATTTAGTTCCCTGTGCACTTGAGCAAGTAGTTCAGATGTGCACTACAAATGCCATACATGCTTATAAACCTCAGAGTCGGGGGAGCTTGTGTGCTCATGTTCCAACTCTGAAATGTGGTTGAGGGGGACCCAAGGACAGTCCTGGATTACCAGGGATGTCCAGGATCCAAACTGGAGAGAGAGAGTGTGTGTGTGTGTGTGTGTCTGTGTAAAGTTGTGGCATGGGGTGGGATTGTTGTAAGGGAATTTGTTCACATTTAGGACTGTATAGCCTAAAGCTTACAGACATTTTGACAGTCCAGAAGTGGGTGATTATGTTCAGCCAATTTTAACATTCCCTCACCGCAGATTGAATGCTACTTTTAAAAAAAAGGAATAAACAATAGGTACTGACTGTTGGAATTTTGGAAATTTTACTGATCAGTGGGTCTTTGAATAAATCTGTTTGATCCTCCTGAGTGGAGGTCATCTTCATAAAGCATAAGAAGCTTTAAGCCCTATCATGGCTAGATCCTGAATTCATTTACACCAGTGTAAAACAAAAGTAACTTCACTGCAGCCAATGACATTTCAGATTTAGTCTGATGTAACTGTCCCTATAACTCTATAGGACTTTCCAGAGTATCAAACCTATGGCAGAAATCTATGCAAAACCTTCCTTGCTGTGACAAGCAAATCAGTGATTAATCCTCATGGTGGCCCATAGGAAACACAAGGCACATCACTCCTTGTATTTCCAACCATGGTACGTCTATACTTACCCACTGGTTCGGCGGCAAGCAATCGATCTTCTGGGATCGATTTATCGCGTCTTGTCTAGACGCGATACATCGATCCCGGAAGTGCTCGCCGTCGACACCGGTAATCCTGCTCCGTGAGAGGAGTAGGTGGAGTCGACGGGGGAGCCTGCCTGCCGCGTGTGGACCCGCGGTAAGTACCTTCAAGTTCGAACTAAGATACTTCAACTTCAGCTACGTTATTCACGTAGCTGAAGTTGCGTATCTTAGTTCGAACTGGGGGCTTAGTGTGGACCAGCCCCTAGACTTCTCTAGGAACATCTGAGGATAAAGCTTTCTGCTCATTTCCATAAGTTAGCAGGACTTTGACATTAAAATAGGCTTTAAAATTGGCTCCATTTCCAAGATTGTGATTAATTTAATTTTACTTCAGCCAAGCAATAAATAATTTAATTGGGGCAAATCTTCAGCTAGTACAAATCAGTGTCGTTCCACTCAACGACAATGGACTCATGGTGATTTACACCAACTATGGCTCTGATGAGAATTTTTTTTTAAAGGGGCTGGACAAAAAGTGAAATAAAAATATAGTCCATTGAAATACCGATTTGTTCTAAAACCAAAACAAAAAGGCCAGGAAGTTTGGTGTGTGAATTTTCATGCGGTTCTAAGAACCTTTCGCTGCAAGAAAAGGCATGACAGGTCGGGGTTTGAAGGATGGCTTGACAATTTACTGACTCTTGTAAGACTTTAATTGAAAGCTTTCTTGGTGCTGTAATGGAACTTTTGATCCTACATTGTATGCTGCCACCTCTCCCAGCACAAAGTCCAAGTAACTGAGATTTGTGAAGAGAACTGCTGTGGGAGGGTGGAATTTCAGCACTTTACCCACCCCCCAGGCCAGTTATTGGGTGGCAGCATAACCCCTTTGCAGCTATTCTTCCAGCCTGTGGTGCCCCTACAATACCAGAAGACCCTTGCCACCCACACTGAGCCCTATTAACTTTAACTCGGCTCCACATGGGTGCCACGGTCCTGCTACATGCATTCTGTTGCAGGATCAGGGTCTGTGTGAGGATTTGGTGCTGTTGGATCCATGCAAAGTTCAGCTCCAAAAACCTGAATGTAATGGCATGGGATCTGTGCCAGCTACTCCATATTGGCCTGTTTGGGCCGTGCAGATCCTCTTTCATGGCACACGGGTATGAAGACCAATCCTTGCAGTCATTTCAGCTTTGCTGCAGCGGGGCACTCGCTGTAGGTAGCTGTACTTGACAGTAAACCTTTTTCTGTTAAAGATGCAGAAATCACAATGGAAACTAGTAATCAAGATACATTTTTCATGCCTCAAACCAAAAGGTAGCAAAATTGGCTTTAAAACAAACAAAACAAAAATCCTAACTAGGCAGTGAATCTGTTTGCAGGTTTTCAGGCTGAAGATTAATTTTATTGGCTAAAAAAGAAACCAGCATCATGGACTTGCTGACATATCGTTAGTAATTGAATAATTGTGGGTCCTCTCTAGAAATAACAGGTGAAGTGTGTTTGAATTGCATGATCGGTAAGCCGATAATATTTGTAAGGTGTGAATAAATTGCTAGAAGAAATAATTTCATTCCAATACACTACAGTACTTCATCATTGACTAACCTATTCATTAGTATGAGCTGACTGGATGGGAAGATATTTAACTTGTGGCACACATTTGCAATTTTGCTTTTTTAGAGGAAGTAATTGTCTTGAAATGAAGAAAGAAACTGAAATTAAAATTCAGGCATTAACGTCCGATCACAAATCTAAGGTAAGAAAACATGCCAGTGTTAACACATGCAACATTTGAGATCTTTGGAGACCCAAATGGTAGTTTATTTTTATGAAAGCAGGTGAATGATTTTCAGCAATAATGACATGCAGAAAAGAATGGGAGTAACTCGGTGTCTAAAAGCTTTTGGTTTTTTATTCAAAAAGAGCAAAATCCATTTCCTGATCTTAACAATTTTTGAAGAGAGTATCATGTTCCTAGTTTTGTTTCCATATGAAACAAAAATGTTTGGTCATTTTGTTGTAGTTTCAGCTATGCAGGCAACAGAGGAAAATGTGCTATATGAAAATTGGAATTGAATTTTGCCACCAAAAATATGTAGGTAAATGGAATTAGCCGCTTGTTAGTTTTACATCAGTGTCACCTTGTCCAACACCCTGCCAGACACTTGACTCTCCCTGTGCCTTCACTGTCTCTCTCCTGGGCCCATCCCATTTGCATCAGATGTACTACTTTGTTACTTCTTACTTCTCCTTCTGAGGTGAATCAGTTGCTTTCTCCAAATTGCCTGTCCCCAAATAACAGCACCCAAGATCCAGTCCCAGTTGTTTTTAATCAGTTGTTCTCAAGCTACGGTCATGGACCATTTTCAAGAGTTGCATGGAGCTGCTCCCTTGCAGAGGTAAAACATTGTCAGTCTTCATGCTAGTTGTGATGCAGTATGGAACTTATCTAGTATTTCCAGAGATTTCCTGACCAATTAATTTTTTTAGCTAATCCTCATTCAGTGCTTTGCTCACTTGCTTCCTGTACTACTTTGTCAAAGATTTCTCTGGTGCCATTTGAACTGCTGTCAGGTTTGTGGTTGATGTCAAAGTTAGAGGAATAGCAAATACACTGTAGGATAGAACCAGCTGCAAAATGACCCAGAGAGATTAGAATAGAGGAGATTGAAAACAACAGGGGATTTTTACCTAATACATGTAAAGTCTTAGACACAGGGAGAGGCATCAAACACCACAGATACCGCATGGGAGAGGTAACCAAGCCGCAGTATTAAGCAGACTAAGACAAGCTCACTTTCATCTTGTCCCTAATATCACGCATTCATGTAACCAGGACACGTAGATCTTAGTTTTCTCTCCTTCTGCAGCATGTTTATGGCACTCTGTTAGTGTAAAAGGGTAATGCCCTGGGCAAAATATGTTTTCCCTGGATGCATAGGGCTGGTGGAAGAGTGCTATGTGCTCCCCATCACCTTATTTGCCTAGGCGGATAGAGGCAAGTTGAAGATGAGGGGCAAACTGGCAGCCAGAGGAAGCATGACTAGAGTGTACTGTGCTCCAGTTCCATAGGGTCGGTAGAGTAGCCCATAGGCAGCTGTAGGAAACCACTCGGGGTTGCTCTAAATTGTATCCAGCAGAGCCCGGCATCTGGGAGATGCAAAGGCAGCTTAAACTCCTCCTCCTCCATTCTGGTTGCACCCCCGAGCGCCACAGCTCAAGGGCCGTAGTTTGCCATTGCTGCAGGGAAGGTGTGAGGTTGGTCTAGGGAAAGGAGAGTATCTATCAGAAAATAGCAATCTTAACAACATCGCCACAATAGGAAATGTCAAAACCACTGTCTGAAATAAAAACGGATTGTATTGGCAGGTTGATAGAAGAGAAGCTAGTTATAAAAATCAATTTGGCTAACAACTCTAGAGAGAGCATTGCAAGCTAGGCAGTAAGCTTCAATACAAAGCAAAGTGTAAAATCTTAAAGCTTTACAGAATAGAAGAGTCTTTGATGTGACCTCAGCTGCCCCAAACCTGGTTCTAATATACATGGACATTTAAGTGTTCACTAACCTTCTACTTCCAATGAGTCTGACTGATGATTTTTTCCCCTTCCCACAAGCTGATTTGGATATTAGGGTATGTCCTTTTAAAATGCCCACTTCCAAACAGATCCTGTCAAATGCGTAATCCGTCCCCCCAACAGATGGATGGCTTGCTTTCTTCTCCATGTCTAGCTTTAGGTTGGGATTTTCAAAGGACCCTAAGGGAGCTTGAGCTGCTTTGAAACTTCCACCTTTTGTGGCTTTACTGATCCCACGGAACACTTCGATGCTGGCTTTCGCTTGTATCCCACCTGGGTGGTTTGCTCCAGACCAAATGGAAATGTAGATTTCTTCTACTCCCAACAGAGTACAGCTATGCAGATAGAAATTACGTTGGAAAATCCTGAGAGATGCCGAATTCATACAATTCCTATTGAATTCAGTGGGATTTGTAGATACTCAGCAGCTGTTCAGAAACCTCTCACCATTTGACCCATTGATTTTAAGATCAAGTGAGCTCATCGGATTAGCGAGCTCCGAGGATTAATCCAGCATGTGTCAGATGCACATCATCCCCATGGCACAAGATGTGTAAAAAAAAAAAAATTTAAATACTATGCAGCTATGCCCATTACCAGTAGTAATGGTCTACAGAGACTTGCTCCTCTATGCCGTGGGTACAAATCCAGGCCAAGTTTGACATGAAATACTCACTTTGTTTTGAATGCTTTTAGGTAGATTAGATACCAGCCTAGCTTGGAAAAGGCAGGCAGCTCTTCATTATCAATGAGGAATCCAGTTCTTAACACACAACGTATTCTTCGTTTGCTTGTACCTTTGGCAGAGAGTCTAGGCACTGGTTGCCTTGAGAGGTGCTCTGCTCTCTCGAATGTCTCTCTCACCTTTCTTGTTTTGCTCTCAGTGCACTGAAAGAGCCTGTTCAGCTGTATGCATCTGACTGTGGGTCACCTGCCTAAAATACGTTTGAGAGGAAGTACGTCTTGGGGGTACATGCTCCTGAGGGGATTGGCATCAAAGTCTCACTTGGGAACTCTGTGATCGCAATTTTGATTTGAAGAATCAGGATTAGCTTCCATATAAGAATGCCCAAAGGCTATTAGTTTCCATAATAGCACTTGAAAAAAAGGCCTCCCTGAAAATAGATGATTTTTTAGTGAGATTTTGTGTGCATTTATGGAAAAGTAGGGTAGCTTGTCAAAATAGCATAGCTAATTATGAAGGGATAATAAGGTATATCTTTCTATTAGTTACTTTTCTAAATCATTGGAGTACACTATACTATTATAATAACAACTCTGATGGTTTAGACTTCTTCACATTGTCTCTTGGGAACTTTCCAAAACTTTAATCTTATTATTCTTGCGAGTCTTGGGAGCTGAGCAAGAAAAGAATACTTGTCAGATTCCCTGCTGACTTAATGAGCATAAGACACAGCTATATAGCCTAGCTACAGATTCAGGATGTATTAAATATAGGATTTCTCTGAAAAACTGACTGTGTGAATAAGATTCTCTCCACAAAATCAGAGCCTGTGTTTAAGCCCTTGGAGAAATTCATCCCACTAGATATTCTCAATCTCTAATTTTTTTTATTTTATATTTTTGAGGCAGCCAAGAATGTTTAGCAGTTGTATAATGAAGCATACATTTCAGGAGGGTTTAAAAAGAATTGTTGTACAATTGAAGGGTATTAATTCAGTCTCTTTACGTAGGGCAGCTGGGTAACAGAGAGCCCTAGTAATGAGGATGCATTTTATTGTGTGTTTAATATCTGGTGTTTATAATACACTGTAGTTTCCTTTGTGGCTTCATGTCAGTGTGGAGCAGTTTGCTTTATGTAATTTAGTTCTTGCAATTTAGCTGAGTTTTGTAAGACTTTTGTAATTATCTTGAAATGATCTCCACTGCATTAATGACTGACCTTATATTATAACAGTGAGAAGTACTGACAAAACAGTCATTGTTCTTTCTCTACAGGTAAAAGAAATTGTAGCGCAGCACACTAAAGAGTGGTCAGAGATGATCAACACCCACAGTGCCGAAGAGCAAGAAATCCGTGATTTACATCTGAGCCAGCAGTGTGAGCTACTGAAAAAACTGCTGATTAATGCTCATGAGCAACAAACCCAACAGCTGAAGTTTTCTCATGACAGGTGAGCAGAGCAGTGTCATCATTCAGCATCCTGAGAACCCGTGCACTGGTGACGGGATTATCAGGGTATAGCATCAGAGCAGTCAAATAAGGTATCAAAGGAAGAATTGAGGGATAATGGAGCAGATCCTCAGCTGGTGTAAACTGTCCTAACGCCATTTACACTAAGGAACTTGAATTCAAAAGGCCTGAACCAGAAAGATGCTGAGCATTTGCAACTACCTTTTGAAGTTGATAGGAGCTGTGGGTGTGAAAACATTACATTTTTTTTCTGTGTAACTACCTCACAGTTGCACATTGTTTTAATAAAATATCACGTTGTAATCTCCAATACGAAGACAGTGCTGCATGCCAGCATTCTCATTGCTTTTATATTTAACTGCACTGTTCACTTTGAAATGAAATGAAATGCAAATAATAGTATGACCTATCTCTAATATAGCACTTTTCATCAGTAGGTCTCAAAGCACTTTACTAAGGGAGGTAAGTATCGTCATCCGCAGTGTTATACAGACACAGAATAGAAGCGGAGGAATTATCTCATTGCACAGTCTATGATGTGAGGAAGTCCACAACCATATGAATTTACTTAATATATACTATTTTTAAAAGACCTTCCTCAGCATTGGTCTGGTAGGAAGCCCAAAAAGCATCAACGACGTCACATCTAAAGAAGCTAACTGAGATAATTTTCGATTTTAACAAAATTCCTGAATGAAATAATGTAGTACCTTAGCATAAGACAGAATCCATGCTGAGACCTGTGTGCTTCCATCCTACAGAGGAAATTGTCGCCGTGAAAGGTTTTAATATGCTCATCTTTATGTTACTCTCCAAATTAGCTCATTTATTCAAGCTGTCTAGGAATATGTTTGTTTATTTTATAATTAGATACTTTGTAAAGTATTATGAAATACATTAAAAAGACATTATTTTACAGATCCTAGTTCTGAGACCAAGCAGGGGAAGAATCAGTCCCTAGTACAAGTTAGAACAGCCTTTGGGGTATTCTGTTATGCCGTTGCAACAGCCCGCAAAGGAACCACAACCATTTTGCTATCCACCGTCTTGCTTTCTGATCCATTTTGTAATCCGGTATACTCTTTCTGATCTATTCTGCTAAATTATAGTTTCTTTCCTGGAGGAATAGTTCTTCTAATCTCTCTTGAAATGTTTTTATTTTCATTTCTGTATCTACTTCCTTTGTTCTCTTATCTACGTTGGGCTAAATTTATCAGTGTGGGGAGATATCTTTACCAGGAAAACATGTGTGTCACCTAGGCTATATAGAAATGTACTTTCTTCATCCTTTCCTCACAGTTCGTAGCTTTAGATTTAGAATTTTCACATCTCCATAGTATTTTAATGGTTCTGTATTATCTTTGGAAATAAGTTCTTAGTACTGAATTGCTTATTTAAAATCATTTTCATTTGTACCATACTGTTCTAAGTGCTGGTCTGATTTTTCAGAGGTGCCGAGCACAACACATTGATTTCTGTGCATGGGTAAACTTTAAATAATGTTCTGTGCCATCCAAGTTAGAGATCTTTTTGGTTTTATTTGTTGCTGTCTCTGTATTCACCGCTTATCCAGGGATTTTTATCCAACCCGTTTGTATAAAGATTTTCCTGCATGTCCACAAACCAGAATGCTTCTGAATGTGAAATATTGGATTGTTGATCATAATACCCAAAAGGGGCTTCATGCTTCATCACTTGTAGACTGTATAGAATACATGAAGCATATGTAACATCCAAGAGTCAGCTGAGCAAGACACGTGGAAAATAAAGGATCATCTTGAGAATAGAAGGGGCAGTTGACAGTATGCTATTCTTTCAACCTCTCTATTAACTAGAGTAATGAGACATGCTGAATAGCTATCAAGACAGTGTTCAGAGTGGTAGTAGAGAGATCGGTAATCTGAAACGATGCAGATATCTGCTGAAAAGTCGAACCTTTTCCACTCGTGGTCGAAAAAGCAATTACAGCTCACGCTTGGACTGACCGGATTGAAAGCAGAAAACAAAAAATGCTTATGACTGCAATCTGCAGATTGCCATTGCACATTCAGGGGGGCTCTCCAGCTCCAGGATGTATGAGAACTCAGATGGCTCTCAGAAAGTCCAGCTGCCTCTGGCTCTGTCCATTTAACTTTACTGAATTAGAGATACTGTGTTTGGAGCACATGAGAAATTAGAAAATCTGGGAGTCAAACTGACATTTCTGACTCAAATGCATCCAAGGTTAACTAAAATGTGTTGGTAATGAGTCAGAGAGAGAAAAACAAAAGTATTTTTTAAAACAGGGAGAGATCAGCAGATGAGTGGAGCAGTATTATTCAGAAAGCACCAAATTGCATTAAGTAGGATACAATACTGATAATATATGATAATTGACTTCAGTGGACTTTAATTGTTTTAATTAATTTTGTTTGTAAAGTGCTTTGAGATCCTCAGGTTTGAAGCATTAGAGACATGCACAGAATTCTTTGAGTGGGTCAGAATTATTACAGATTGGATTGCAAATTCTCTGGGGCAGGAACTGTAACTTCCTAGGGGCAGGTATAGTACCTATCACAATAAGATCCTGTTCCAGCCCTTTGGATGTTAATGCAAGGGATGAGCTTTAGATTCAAACCTGTGACCCATATGGCAGCATGTTTTGCTGTCAGTGCCTGATCTGGTCTTCTAAGCCCTGGTCTACATTGGGGTGGGGGGAGGTCGATCTAAGTTACGCAGCTTCAGCTACGTGAATAACGTAGCTGAAGTCAACGTACTTAGATCAATTTACCGTGGTGTCTTCACCCCGGTGAGTCGACTGCTGCTGCTCCCCCGTCGACTCTGCCTGTGCCTCTCGCCAAGCTGGAGTACAGGAGTCGACGGGAGAATGCTCGGGGATCGATTTATCACATCTAGACTAGACGCGATAAATCGATCCCCGCTGGATCGATCTCTGTCCACCGATCCAGCCGGTAGTGAAGACATACCCTTAGTCCCAGAAACAAATTATTCCTATTGATTCCAAGGGGAAGTGTATTTCCTGATATACTAAAATATCAGTTTGTTTGTTTCCAATTTGTCAGCAGTGCACTTAGCTAAGCTTGTGCATAGTTGTCATGGAAAAGATAAAGATGGTTACATATTGGTGGATGTTACTTTCTTCCATTATACTACATTTTGCAGCATAAGGAGAATTATGCCCCTTAACTGCTTTCTGTATAAAATTATTAATTTTATATATCAACGCCTAAAGCACTATAAATAAAAAATGAATTATTACATAACTGTTGTTAAGACAGTGTGATTTTACGTGCTTTCAAACCTAAGACAGAAAATAAATGCTTATTCCGTATTGTGATTGTTTGCATAAAAAGTGCTGTTGATAGAATGAAAAATCTCTCTTAAGTATATTGTATCTTATTGTTGCTATAATACCACTGCTTTGAGTTTTGTATTGATATTGTATTGATCATTAAGAAATGTTTCACAATATAAAGCCTTGGAGAAGTAAAGGCTGCGTCTTCATTAATATTCTTTTAGTTGAATGAAAATGTGTGGAAGTAAGCAAGGTGCAAAGTAAAATAACATTAATTAGTAGTGTCTTTCACAGACAATAAAACATTTGAAATTGAAAGGATAGTTAGTAAACTTAAATATAAATTATTTTTCTGGCAATATGTCACTACCTGCAAGCAATTTAGCAATATTTTCCTGTCAGACTCCTCCCCTTTTGTACTTATAAAAAAATTAAAATACCAGCTATTAATGTATAATCATTTTTATCTGTACTGTACTTAAACATTCACTGATACGTCATGGAAAACTTTGAAAAAAACAGTCTGTCTAGAAACAATTGTGTGTCTAAGGGACACATACCATAGGTTACCTAATTCTCTTGACTTCTTTTGTTAGTAAAGACATTTGTGTGAAACATTTCTTGCAGTAGGAACTCATCCATTCCTGCTGCAGATTCCTCACTTCAAGTCCTGATCCTCTCTGATGTCAGTCAGTTGAGGTGGCGATGGCTGTGGTGTCACAAATAACATATTGCAGTAGGACTTTGAGGAAAGAAAAAACAGCAGCTCTGCCACAGAATGTGTGTGTGACTTTGAGAAAGTTTGACTAACCTATACGTGCATTAGTTTCCCCGTCTGTAAAATACAGAAGAAAACGTCTTACCGTACAGGGGTAGAGTAAAACTTAATTAGTCTTTTGTTGGTAAAGTGCTTTGAGAGCCTCAGGTTAGAAGCAAAGAAATTCTTGAGTGGATTAGAATTATTACAGATTGGACTGTAAAATCTATGGGGCAGGAGTTATAACTTCCTGTGGGCGGTCTAGCACCAAGCATAATAGGACCCTGATCCTAGCTGCATCCTTTGGATGTTACTGCAATATTAATTATTATTATTATTATTACTTTACTGAAGATAAATTAGAATATTCATGCGAACAAGTAGGCTTTATCTTATTTACTCAGAATAGGAGCTTTGTGAAATCTAGGTAGCATTTTAAAAAAACCACTCAGTGCTGGCCTAACTTTGCTCCCATTGAGGTCAGTGGTGAAATTCCCATCAACTTCAGTGGAAGCAGAGTTAGGCTGGAGCTGAAAACTTTTAAAAGTGCCACCTAGTCTTTTTTTTCTAACTCGATTTTGTCATCTGTGCTGTTTGTGTTGCAGTTGTTTTTTCTATAACTTCATCATCCTATACCAAACACTAGGTGAAGTTCAACACCAAATCATAAAAATCAGACGGATATGCCAGAACTAGCAAATGTTAATATTATTCGTCCTCTCCTCATACATTCTCTGCACAGAGTCTTTGTAAATTTATTGTGCAGTTTTAAAAGGCAAGTCACATTTCTTAAATTACTGATAATAGCTCTTACTCAGTCAAATGTTCTAAACTACAGAGACAGCACTGTATTTTTGTAGCCTGTGTAATTCAAAGTGTAAAATGCTTAAAACCATTCCTTCAAATTGTTTTCTCTGTATCCTCCTGAGATTTGTAAGTGCTTGTTCAAACATACAGTCCAGTAGGAAGAAGACATTCTTTATATAGTCTGTTCTTTCTCCTTCTTTAATACTTCAGGGACAACTTTAGCCATTATATAGAAAGGTATCAATAAGCTACCTTAACAACCATTAACTATCACATTTCAGTTTATAATTATTTTGTTCGTATTTCTCTAGGGAAAGCAAGGAAATGCGTGCCAACCAGGCTAAAATTTCTATGGAAAACAGCAAAGCCATAAGCCAGGATAAATCTATCAAAAATAAGGCTGAAAGGGAGAGGTAAGTGTCAGATCCATCTATGAGAGGCGGTATAATTGATTGATCTGTGCACACATTGACTAAAGTATGCTTTGATGTGTGGGGAAATGGCTAATTGTTATGCTGTATATATTTTCGATGGCTGTTTCTGGACAATTTTGTGTGTGTGTGTGTGTGTGTGTGTGTGTGTGTGTGTGTGTGTGTGT